ACTGTAAACACATATATGTTTTCACAACATTGTATACCAAAAGGCTACGTTAGTGCATTTTGAGTGGAGTGAAGCCTAGAATGTCTGCATTTCTAAATCAACGTTCTTCGTCGTCATCGTCATCAGCATCGGAGGAACCGTTTCCAGAGTTCGATCTAATGAAAAGAAACGTCGTAGTTGTGTTTTCAGCAACCAAGTCTCCGATGAAGGTGCTCCTGTGGAATACGCAGACGTTGGAGCACTTGCATAGGGAACTGAACCGCTGGCTAGAAGGAGATATTGCTCCAGGAGAAAATATTAGGAAAATCGAGAGGCTAGTCGAGGAGACCGGGAGAAACGGAGTGACTCGTGAATGGAGAAAAGTGGAAAATGATGTCGGTGTCCTTGTGATGATGTTGACACCAAAGAAGATAAAGTTGATGGTCGTGATATCGTAGACGCCTTGGTGCAGTGTTATGCTTTAAGTTTTTACGTTGTTGTTATGTTTCCTTAATTCATGTTGCCTTCGTGCAGTGTTCTGTTTTCATGTTGTTGTTATGTCAGTTAAGTATGCTTTTAATTGATTGAAACTTGGTATTATTCTAATGAAATTTTCTATTAATGGAATAAAAGTTGCTATTAATCGAATGAAATTTGATATTGATTTAACGGGACAAGATTACATTTGAAACTATGATTTGCTGCTTGATCCTACGTTAGGATATTTTGTTCGATTGTGTTCTGGTTGCCGACACGAACTACACAATCTCACCAGCTTGTCTTCGGTATCCATCTCAGTTCGAATGCGCGTGTTGTTAGGCCGACCCTTTTTCTGTCTGCGCATCAAGTCATTATGCCAAACAATTTTGCTTTCGTATTGAGGCTAATAGTCCTCCTTTGCCACCACTTGAAAGTTGCATGCGTAGACATTGCATAGACTAATGACTTGGTGAACTGCAGAAAGAAGGTTGGTTGGGTCCTGGCGCAACTTCGAACATGCTGCTATGACATGAGAGCAAGGCATACGAAATGCTTGAAACTTTCCACAATCACACCAGCTCTTATCCAATTAAACACAATAACATCCCCTCGGCCTTCCTTCGTTGTGATCCATAGACTCGGAAACACTGAACCGACCAGTTGTACGGTCAAAGATTGTCACCATGTGTGTGTTTGCCTTGGCAGCTTCCTCTTTCATAAATTTCATTGAAGTATCGTTGTACAACTGACCCGATTGTAATACTGAACCCCACTTCGTACGTCTGCTATCAAAGAGTGATCCTAGCCTAAAATAGGTTGCCTTTACCAAGGCAGTTATTGGGAGGTTTCAGATTCCCTTGAAAACAGAATTCATTGATTCGACGAGGTTAGTTGTCATGTGGCCCCACCGCACCCCCATTGTCGTATGCCCGCGTCCATTTCTCCCTATCAGTGTTATCAATCCATCTTAATGCATATGCGTTTGTCAGTCTGATCTCGTCACGGTAGTATCTGAAAGTGGGTTCAGTTAGTGCATATCCCGCGTTCACAACCTTCTTCCGTTGCGTCTTGTCTTTGATTTCCCGCATGAAATTTTGGGCGATATGCCTTATGCAATAGATGTGGGTCGAGGGAGGATCCTGCCAACCGTTGTCAACGTTGTTGTATGCACTCTCGATTGATGGGTGTCGATCGGAGATCAAACATAAGTTAGGTTGTGGAGACACGTAACAGCAGAGGTTTTTTAAGAAAAAACTCCAACCCCCAGCAGTCTCCCCTTCCACTATAGCGAATGCTATCGGAAAAATATTGTTGTTCCCGTCTTGTACCACAGTCATGAGAAGTGTGCCCTTATATTTCCCGTATAACCATGTTCCGTCAATTTGAATTATAGGCTTACAATATGCAAACCCTTTGATGCATGGTTCAAACGCCCAAAAGACTCGGTGAAAAATTCCATTTCCAGCAACGGAAGTCCCGTCTGGTGTACACACAGCCATTGTCTCCAATATCGCAACAGTTCCCGGAGAGTAGTGTTTAAGAGCCACCAGGAATTTTAGAAGTTCCTTGTACGACTCCTCCCAATTTCCAAACACCCTTTCAACGGCTTTAGTTCTGGCAATCCAAGCTTTTCGGTACGAAGAAGTGTAATTGTACCTTTGAACCATATATGTAATTATGGTACTCACCTTCAAAGAAGGGTTGTCGCTAGCGACTGACAGAATCTCATCGCAAATCAATTGAGAGCTGAGTTTACGATGGTCTTGCATTGGATTAGAGATTATACACATGTGAGACGGACCCATAGACCCTATCTTCCAGGAATCGCTTCTCTTCCTGAAAGACGTTGTTAATCGGAAGGGACACTCCTCGTTACGACAATGGATCGTATACCGCATCGGATTTGTTCAATCGACTCTATAATCGGCTGACAACCCCATGTGAAACTGTTTGATTGCCCGGACGCAATCTTCTTTTGTACGAAACTCGTCACCCTCCTTTAGTTGCCTGTCTGTTGCGTAGTTGGGATTGTAGAAAACATCCGTCGAGGGTTCATCGTCACCCAAGTCGAGATTTGTCATGTGTTGAGGTGGACAATAAACATTGTCGGGTGGAACCCCGTCGTCCTGGTTGTTCACCATATCGTCAACAATGACTTCAGTTGCTTCTTCTTCTTCGTCAACAACATTGACTTCATCGTGTTCATCGTCAGAATCGCAAAAAACTTGAGAAGAATCAAGTTGCTGAGACAGTTGTTGTTGTTGTAACGTAACATATAACACGATATCTGAGAAACCTGAGTAATCGTGACTCCGGAACATGTTACGCACATCTTCATCGTCTCGCACCTTTAACGGGAAAAATTTACATTCGACATGGCCGCCAAAAAACACTGGGTTTTTGTATATAATTTGCCCAACTGGACCACATTGCATTTTTTTTCTATTCTTGCCTTCAGGTGTAAAAAATTAGACCTTCTGTCAATTAAAAATCTTGTAACTTTAGTGTTTCTGAAATTGTAACCAGATGTTTCATCTTCGAAAACTTCACCGTTAAGATGTGCTGAAATCATATATTGTGGTGTTTGAGACAAAAAGCGAAAATTGTGTTTGAGAGTTTGAGTGTTTGAGTGTTTGAGTGTTTGAGTGTTTGAGTGTATGACAGTTTGAGAGTTGAATGTTTGAGTGATTGAGTGTTTGAGTGTTTAAGTGTTTGAGTATTTGAGTTTAAAGACTTTATTAAATAGTCTGAGTGTTTGATTGTTTAAAGAGTTTAAAGATTTTTTACATGTATTTCAATTAAATTTACGTGCAGCATGCTTCACAATCAATGACATGCATCAGGACTTGAACATACGGGACAGTAAAGGAATCAGGACATGCATGCACCAGGACACTTGTCACGAATGCTTCACAATCAATGACATGCATCAGGACTTGATGAGACGACACAATGCAGGAATCTCTGCCTCTCACATGTGATCCTGCATGCCTACATTGACTATGCAGGCCTACGAGATTCACTTTCTGCATGCACCAGGACTTGATGAGACGGGACAATGCAGGAATCTATGCCTCTCACATGTGATCCTGCATGCCTACATTGATTATGCAGGCCTACGAGATTCACTTTCTGCATGCACCAGAACTTGATTAGACGGGACAATGCAGGAATCTATGCCTCTCACATGTGATCCTGCATGCCTACATTGACCATGCAGGCCTACGAGATTCACTTTCTGCATGCACCAGGACTTGATTAGACGGGACAATGCAGGAATCTCTGCCTCTCACATGTGATCCTTCATGCCTACATTGACTATGCAGGCCTACGAGATTCACTTTCTGCATGCACCAGGACTTGATTAGACGGGACAATGCAGGAATCTCTGCCTTTCACTTGTCCAACATGCATTTACAGCACACATGCATCAGGATACTTGTCTAACATGCATTTACAGCACACACTCTCGTGGAATATAAATATAGGGTCTTTGCCCAACAAACTCTGCTCACACTCTCTAAGTCTCAAACACTCAAACTCTCAAATCCTCAACCTCTCTAAGTCTCAAACTCCTGAATTCTCTAAACTGTAAAACTCTCAAACCCTAAACTCTCTAAGTCTCAAACTCTCAACCCCCAAACTTTCTAGTGTCTCAAACTCTCAACTCTCAACTTAACATCTCTACACCTCAATAACTCAAAAGAATATGTCTTTACTCACCATGGGCGACTCTTATAGAGGCACGGCTGAAAACATTGCAGAGTTTGTAAGTTTTTAGTTCTTAGATATATTTACAATCTTGCCTAGTAAAATGTTAAGTATTTTACTTCTTGTCTAACGTAACATTAATTATTTTGCAGGATGTATCAAGGTTTCGCTGTCGTGTGCATGATTACATACCACACGACGAGCGCATAGCGGGTTACCTTCAAAATTGTGGGTTTGGTGATGTGATCAAAATCACATCATACTCGCTCGATACAAAGTTTATTCTGGCGTTGTTAGAATGCTGGAGACCGGAGACACATACATTTCACCTACCTTTTGGTGAGTGTACCGTGACTCTCCAAGACGTACACATGTTGCTCGATCTACACATCGATGGTAAGGCCGTCAACGGCAAAATTGGTGTCCCTGACCGACTTTGTGAAGATTTGTTGGGCGCCCCTCTTTGTGTGGACGCGCCTCAGGCGAAAAACGACGGTCGTTCGAGGGGTCAGGGAATTAATTTAAAATACCTAAGAGAACAATACAACAGTATTATCTTAACTGATGATAGCACTCCATTTGACATAATAGTCAAAACACGGTGCTATCTTATGATTTTGTTCGGTCATTTTTTATTTTCAAAGGGCACTAGAAATACCGTTCATACTATGTATTTACCGTTATTGCAAAATATTAACAAAGTGTGCGAATATAGTTGGGGATCAGCTGTCCTCCCCCATCTTTATAGTGCCCTTTGCAAAACTTCAAAAAAAAATACTTGTACTTTTTATGGTTGTACTTATCTCTTGCAAGCGTGGGGTTGGTCTACGATGCCGACGCTTGCTCCAATAAACCGGAATGCTTTTACATTCCCGTACGCCAACAAGTGAGTTTCTTTTCTAGAATATTAACACAACTTCATTTTTGTTTAAGTTAATAATTTCTGAGATGTGTTTTAGATGCTAATTTATATGTGTTTATTATTTTTAGGTGGTCTGTTTCAGGGATGAATTATCAGAGATGTCTCAGGCACTCTATAATTCAATACTGCAACCTCATCGACCACCTTGGAACAGATGATGTAAGTTATTTACCTTTAATTTTTATAGTGTATATGCATAAACTTGTATGTCTCTGTCTAACTAATTTGTCCACTTTTATTGTAGTTTGTCTGGATGCCGTACGAGGGTCTCGACCACCAGCCCAACCCCGATGATGTTGTTGTTTGGACATCAACGACACTCATAATTAGGTTCACTACGGTGGAGATGCACCAAATTGATCGGGTGAAACTACAATTTAGGATGCATCCAAGTCTTCAATATATGACTTGGTTTAGGTCTGTCACGACATCTCAGCCTTTCCTGTCCCAGCCAACCTATTTGGCCGACCCAAGTGAACACGATTCTTCGTCAAACACACAACAACAGCTCAATGCTCAAAATCGACCTTACGAAAACCCATACATGCCAACAAATACCCCCTATCAACAACATCCTTACATGCCACCCGCCCAATCTCAGCCTCAACCACCGTACCATTATAGCCCTGATACGTCGTTTGAGCCTACCCCCTCCACCTATAGCCCACACAACTCATTTGACCCTACCCTCTCCAACTCCAACTACCCCTCCACCTATAGCCCAGACAACTCATTTGACCCTACCCCCTCCAACACCCCACAACAACCAACACACCTAGACCAACCCAATTCCATGTACACATTCGGACAACCATACCGTCCATACTCCACCCAACCTCCCAGGCAATCCTTCGAAAACATGGGCATTAGGCTTGACTACGGCAGCGCCATTGACAATGGACCTCCCGGCTATTGGAGTCAAATGATGCAAAATCTATCTGATACGCTGGGGCCGTCCCAACAACATCCTCCTCCACAACTCGACACACAACGGCCCGACACACCACAACAACCCGGTCGTAGATATCGTCGCAACGCACATCCTCCACAGTGTGGCACCGATGGTCGCTTGGAAGAGCCGACCATTATTTTATTTTTTTTGTTGTAATTTTCATTATATTATAAATTAATATTTTTTAATATTTTTTACAATTCTATTTTATTCTAAGGTTATTTAAATTTCCATTCATTATACAAAAACAAACAACATAATTTACTGACACATATTTATTAATAAATTATTAAAATATTTATAAATGTATCAATAAACTTTTAATAAATAATTGAAATATTTATAAATGTAATAATAAACTTAATGTATTTAATAGGTAATTGAAATATTTATTAAAATATTTATAAATGTAATAATAAATTTAATGTAATTAATAGGTAATTTAATTATTTATTAAAATATTTATAAATTTATTAAATTATTTAATAAAATGTTTATTAAAATATTTATTAATATGATAAATATTTATTAAAATGTTATAAATATTTATTTATATGTGAAATGACGAAACCCTAATGCCAAATCAATGTCGCCAAATGGGCTAATTTTTGGTCTCTTTTTACGTAAGAGTAGAAAAAATTTTTATTACAAAAGATAAAGAATATATTTATAAATTTATTTTGTTTCTCATTATAATAATAAAGTTTTAATTTGTATTATATTCTATTTTAACTCTAATTGTATTATTTAAAGTCTATGTTCATAGACATATATATGTTTGTTGATGAATAAAGTGTTTCTTATAGTCTTTTAAAATTGATTTTTTGTTATATTGTTTTTGTGTAACTTTTGCTGATTTGTTTTCTTAGATTTGTACTATTTGATTAATTAGTGAAAAAAATGTAGCTATCATCTCTTTTCTGTCCTACATTAAAAGAATATTTTATTAATTAGTAAAAAAATGTAGCTATTATCTCTTTTCTGTCTTGCATTAAAACAATATTAGATTAGTTAGTAAAAAAAATGTAGTTATTATCTATTTTCTGTCTTGCATTAAAACAATTTTTTATTAGTTACTAAAAAATGTAGCTACTATCACTTTTTTAAAAGAATTTTTTATTAGTTAGTAAAAAAAAGTAGGCGTTAAAGAGAAGGCTAATGGAATTAGGAAAAAGTAGGCGCTAAAGACCAATGTCAACCTACCGTTATCTATTGTCGCGGCGTAAAGTTAAGGCTAATGGAATTAGGAAATTTAAATGCGAATGAAATTAAATACAACGGAAATAAAGATTATTGGTTTAAGAAAGAGCGTTAAAGAGATATCGGTATGTAATGCTTTAGTTTTCGGGGATTCGAAGGTCGTCGGTGCTTTTTAGTCTTTGCAAACACTTTTCAGGAGAAAATACTCGTTTAAAGACCTTTGTCTCACGATGGTTGTTGACTCGGGTCATAATTCTAAGGCAGAATGTACGTTCTCGCTATCCCATTCGGGGTTAAAACTACTTTTTGAAAACAAGTAAGTTCTGATTTCTTTTAAAGCCTTTCGTTGTGTTTAAAATTAATGTCTAGTTCTTACTATCCGGTTTGAACCCCAGCTTTCGCGTGTCGGCTCTTGCCTTAATGAATTTCCCACTTTCGTGGCAAAACTACTGTAAATAATTTCTCGCTTTCGCGACGAAGGTTTATTTAGAAGATTTTGATTAAAAACTACAGCTAAAAAGGTGTTTGTAAAAGGGAAGGTGCACCGGGTATTATCGAATCCCATCCTACTAATTCGATTACATACCGATAAAACTAATTTAGCTAGACATGATAATTAATGCAAATGGAAATAAACATAAACAGCACAATAATAAAATATGCATTATGACGGAAACAAAATAAATATTCAATTAATAAAAACCTGTAAGTCGTACTGATCTCGTATCCTCGAGTAGTCCTCCACAATGTCGGCAGGATTCTACCTTGGCAAGAAGTAAAGGTACAGGACTAGTTCGATTACATACCGATAAAACTTATTTAGCTAGACATGATAATTAATGCAAATGGAAATAAACATAAACAGCACAATAATAAAATATGCATTATGACGGAAACAAAATAAATATTCAATTAATAAAAACCTGTAAGTCGTACTGATCTCGTATCCTCGAGTAGTCCTCCACAATGTCGGCAGGATTCTACCTTGGCGAGAAGTAAAGGTACAGGACTAATTCGATTACATACCGATAAAACTTATTTAGCTAGACATGATAATGCAAATGGAAATAAACATAAACAGCACAATAATAAAATATGCATTATGACGGAAACAAAATAAATATTCAATTAATAAAAACCTGTAAGTCGTACTGATCTCGTATCCTCGAGTAGTCCTCCACAATGTCGGCAGGATTCTACCTTGGCGAGAAGTAAAGGTACAGGACTAATTCGATTACATACCGATAAAACTTATTTAGCTAGACATGATAATTAATGCAAATGGAAATAAACATAAACAGCACAATAATAAAATATGCATTATGACGGAAACAAAATAAATATTCAATTAATAAAAACCTGTAAGTCGTACTGATCTCGTATCCTCGAGTAGTCCTCCATAATGTCGGCAGGATTCTACCTTGGCGAGAAGTAAAGGTACAGGAAGGAAGTAAAGCGGTACAAATGAAAATAAAAAGGAAAGGAAATGGGAAAATAATGCAAGAAAGTAAATTCGGCTTCAATGGAAATTTCGACAGCACTTCGATAAGTTCTCACAATCTGTGACGAACGTGACGACCGTGTTGCTCTGTGACGACCGTCATGTACGTGACGACCGTGATGATGTTGTGACGAGTGTCACACGCGCAAAGTCCATTTCTCTGTTATTTTCTATTTTTAATTCAAATTCTCCATAATCTGCAAAACATAGTAAATTAACCGTATAATAGAACATAAATCAAGATAAATTAACAATAGTTACAAATAAATGCATTTAAATCAAGCCAAATAAACAATATGATTTCGCACCGTTGGGAAGAGTCTGCACTTGACGGATCCTCGGACTTCCAATAATCGAGCATGGCCTCAATATCTTTCATATGGTCGTGCTCGATTAAATTTACTTTTAGATTGACAAATGTGAGAAGACTGTTTGACTACTATGGGTCCGTGTCCAACGAGAGAATATGTTCTGTCCGACGAAAAAAGGTATATGCCAAATGATGAGGTGGCTTAGGTCTTATTAGGCCTCACAACCTGATAGAATTTGAGCCTGCTCGACTATGGATCTAGCGTCGGCTCAAGCCAAAACAATTATGTTCTATTTTGAAACTCATTTTATTTATTTTTTGACATTATTAAATAATGATAATTATTCATTTTATTTATTTTTTGGGACAACATGTTATTTGTATTAATAATAATGAAACTTTGATTTTTCTTAGATTGTTTTATTTTTGAGATGCTATTAATTTTGATGTTGTTAATCTTGATAATTATAATATAATAGATGGTTATAAAGAGATGGTAAAAAGTTCCATCCAATGACTACAGTATCATAGGAAGCTTGATTTGTGCTTTAAATGTATCCAATGACTACAGTATCATAGGAAGCTTGATTTGTGCTTTAAATGTATCTTTGTTGATTTTTAGAACCAAATTAATTAATTGAAATTTCAATGTTGTTTTTATCTTTTTGGTATTATAAATACATTAAAACCTATTAAAGTTTTACAATATTATTAAAATTTGTTAAATCACTTTAATAGTAATTAAAATCTTATGAATTACGTAACAAATTAAATTGTAAACAAAAGAAAGAATTGTTGATTAAATTGTAAACAAAAGAAAGAATTGTTGATATTGCAGAGATATTATAAAAGAGAAAGAACAGTGTATTCTTTAATCAACATCTTATTTATATTCTTTAATCAACTTTATTTATTTATTATAATTTAAAATGTTTTTTCTAATGCAGGTGTTGATTAAATTAAATTATCAACATCTTATTTATATTCTTTAATCAACTTTATTTATTAATTATAATTAAAAATGTTTACTTTTTCTAATACAGGTGTTTAAGAAAATAAATAAGATGTTAATTCAAGAATACACCATTATTTCTGTTTTATAAAAGAATTTTAAATTTTTTAAGTTTATTAAATAAATAATATATTTTAATAATATATATATTAAATATATAATTATTTAATGAAATTAAAAAATTAAAATTTAACTATAAAAAAATTTAAAGATGTTTATATTTATTTTAGGAAAAATGCAAATAAGATGTCTATTAAAAAATAGCTAATAATTCAATTTAAACATTTTTAATATAAAAAATATATATATAAGAAAAAGTAAACATTTTTACGGAGATGGGCTATATTCCTTTCTGTCTTGCATTAAAACAATATTTGATTAATTATTAAAAAATGCAGCTATTATCTCTTTTCGTTAGTAAAAAAAAGTAGGTATTATCTGTCTTCGTTCTTGCATTAAAACAATATTTTATTAGTTAGTAAAAAATGTAGCTATTACTTTGACACAGAATCAAACAGAGTTAATGAGAATGATCTGCAACACGAATAGCATCAATTTGGCAGGAGCAATGGGGCTTTCGCGTCATAAATAATTCAGAGAAGCCCGGGGTTGCATCATGCGTATTAAACTATTCAAAAAGTATAATAATTTAGTGCCGTTATTTGACTCCCAGGTCGTGGGTAAACAAGAGATGAAGTTGATGACAGCACAAGAATATTTGAGTTCTTCAGACCCTGAATAAATTTAAGTATATACAGAGTATAGTGAAACTCATCAATTAAAACAGAAAAAATCTAGGTTAACATTTTTGCCTCAGTTAAATCCATTAATGTCAAATGAACGTAGCTTCGCCAAGTAGGTTCATCCTGTAAACAGGATCTTGGTTCCACAACATCTCAAATAATTGGATTAAATCATCATCGGCAAAATCATTTTAAAGATGCAAAAACCACAGTGCGAGAACAACCGCGTTTCAATATGTGCCTCTAGGACTGAAACAGATCTATGATCGAAAACAAGCTCAAGAGTTAACGAGGCAAATTCAGAATAAATAAATAACCGAAAGAAAAATTCAAAGCCTCGAATTAACAAATGTCGCCATTACTTTGACACAGATCTATCGTGGAATTACG